TAGGTTAGCGATAAACATAGGAATCATGTTGTCGTGACATCTATGTTGGAATTTTTACTCTGCATATTGACTAACGATTTTGTCAACATGCTACCGAACGAGTCATCCGAAACAACTAGCCATTAGTGATTTGCCCAGGGTTATTACATGAATGGCAATACTGAGGTTCGATCACAGTATCCTGTAGATATGTGTCGAACAACGTAAGCACTCAATCACGACGGCTACACCTTCTATATGTCAAACCTAAAAATTATTGCTGTAAAATTCAGATCAAGAATTAGACTTCGATTGAGCACACATGTAAATAAGACCAATAGTTTTTTGTGGAACTCACACATATTTTTGAAGAGAATAGCGATTGTAAGTTTTAAGTTCAAGTTTTCGCGGCGTCCCCTCCCCATTACAGACACATAGCAACGGAAGCTCTCGTTACAGACTCCAGCCACTGCACGCAACAGGCTTCAGATATATTTATTAATAAAAAAAACAAAGGAGTTGAACAGTATAAAGAATATGAGCTCGATGGTTCTGCAATATTTCAACGCCTTCATTAATATTTGAAAAACTATAATATATTTATTAAAGTTCTTAATAGCGAAATCGTCGACTTTTTGTAGAATTTAAACTTGTATTTTAAAAGTGAAGAACGAAGAGTAGTAATAGATTGATCTGTCATAGCAATCATATAATCAACAGGGAAAGCATGATTCGATCTTTTTGTCAGTTTACAAAATAAACGATGTCACTATTTATGAGTTCAATCAGATATATAGTAGTACGCTAAGAGCTGCTGATGCATATAAAGTGCATTATTATAACAGTCTGATTTATGAGATAGTCGATGATGAAGAAAAATAATAATGTCAAATTAAAAAAAATGATTAACATCGAGTGCATAATAACAATTATAAATGAAATCAAACGCTCTTAAACAAAAAAATTTCTGTTTTAAATGTAGAAATGAATAATAAAGTCTCGCTCTTGCCATCGATTATCAATGAAAACAACTGCAGCGTACACGAAATTTTTCAGTTTACGTATGATGCATTAGGATATTGAGGTTTAAGGCTATATGTGAGTTTCACATTTCAGCTTCAAAGAAGCTATGCTAACAAGCTTTTTTGTAAAAATGTGCTAAAATGATCATTTTGTTTTCAGAAAAGAGCTGTAGAAAATCAACCAGATTCACCATGAAAGAACCAATTTTCTGTAAAAAATAAGTAGTAAAATCATATTTGATTTCCGTCTAGATATTCATCTGATTAAGCATATTTTATTTTCGATAATTTAATAACAATCATTAGAAATGCTCCTGATGCCTTTTTTGCATACACTTGGATCTAACATTGATTTTCAATAAGCGACTACGAATCAGAATATTCTCATGACAAAACTACTTAGCTACAAGAATTGGTCAACACATTCGATAAACATTTTTTTTTTCTTTTTCTTCTATCAGTTAGTTAGAAATTGTCTTAATTCATTTCTTTTTCGATTCAACTATTTTCATAAGAAACTTAATAATTATTACTGAATTGTCGAAAACAAAATGTATTTAATCAGATGAAGATCTAGGCAGACCTCAAATATGATCCTACTAGCTTTTTCATAGTGAAGTTTGTTGATATTCTAGAGTTATTTGCTGAATACAAAATTATTATTTTTTCACATTTAAACAAAAAATGAAACAACATTATGATGCATCTATTATTAATCGAATATAAGATGAAACATCGAAAAAATTATCTTTACTCTTTTGTTTTGCACCTAAATAAGGGCATCTAAGATATTCATCCAGGTCCGTATAGAATAAGATCTTTGTGAACTGGCTCTGTGTGGGTACACTCAAATATGCTTTCTCGTTAGTCTATTTATATATATTATACATGTACATACCTTCTTACAAATCAATTAGAAGCTTTTGGAAATAAAAACTTTGAATTCTTTATTACTGATCATCTATTGACTTAAGCACAAATAGATTACAAAACCAAACGTATACTATACATTTTTTGTATATTTAGATGTTTGATATCAAATTAATATTTCACCAATAAAATGTACATTGTTTTGAATGTAATGCTCTTCGACGATCTGATTTTCGGCGAGTACATACTTAACATCTGTTTAATGTAAGTTTAAATACAATGGTAAATTTAAATTAACGAATGTAATAAATAAAACTGTAGACTTTTGATGACTCTAACATTCTCATTTTATATATGCGATACGATGACAATGTTTGTTCGCTTTTTATGCCTAAGAATATCGTTCAACATGTAAAAACGTGTTTCAAATCTTTTACTGTTTCTTCTCTTTGTTCTTGATGATGATTAATAAATAACAAAGTCGATCTTTTATCTCGAAAACAAAACAGGATATCCTTAAATCTTATCCATAACTATTCGATATTCTTCAAAATAATTATTGACATTCAGCAGTGAATTCAAGGCTTTTATGATCACGAGCACTTCGGTGAAGAATCATAGATATCATAATACTATGGTATGGAGTATTCAGAGGTAAATATCAAAATACGACTACACTATTTAAATAAGGGCTATTCACTGTCTGGATGCGTGTAGATTTCGATTGAGAGAAGATCCATATTTACAACCACCATCCGCATACAGTCTCTCATAAGTAGATTTGAGTTAGATTAACAAAAAATACCAAAGTATGTGTTCATAGGTTATCATCCTTGAGATATGACCATATCTATACCTAATGAAATTTTTTTTTCAAAATTTGTTTCATGATCACAGAGAGTTGAACGATCGATGTTTTTCGCTGATAAACTGAATTCGAATCTTCACTCTGCCGAAATTTCAATTGTATCACTTGCGTACAATTTGAACTATCAATCATGCTTCAGTGAAATTATTGTGCAAATACATATGCTTAGGATAAAAAATATTTAAAACACATTGCTTTTTCTTATCTTCGTGAACATGGTTGTTTCGAAAAAATTATCTCATCTACTAGAATAGATGAAAAAATGTCTACGATGAATATATATCTTTTCGCTGCAAATAATTTAGAATAATTTAAAATGAGATCTGTTTAGAAGAACAATAGTTATTAGCTTTCTTACATATGGCGACAGTAAGTATGTGGAATAAGTAACGCTGATGGAAAAGAAATCTTTTCAAACCTATTTTAAACTATATCATGGAGCAATGGTGGATACCAGCTTATGTATATTGGTGTTGTGTTCATCAATTCCTTCGTTTGTTAAACAATTATGACGTTAAAAAGCGAATAAACAGTGAAACATTTACAACTTAATATCACTGAATAAACCACTTCTTTGTGTTCAACCTATTGTGTAAGACATGATTTAACAAATACACATTCTCAAACAATGATATGAATATCTTTTACATAGAAAGGTATAACTACACGTTGTTTCGAAAGTTTGAATTCTTTCTATAATGATAAGTATTCAAAAAAAAAACAAAAGAAATATCGACTAATATATATTTTGTACGATTAGCTGTATTATGACATTTAGTACATTTATCAAATGGTTAGAAAATTTCTTAATTTGAATCGAGCAGATAAGAATGGATATTTTTGAATTGAAATCAGATTCAGATATTTTTGTACTTATTAACAAATCAGAAATCCTAATTGATGATATAATCAAAATAGTACTCAGCCATTCATTGCAATTCTATATTGATGACCTATTCACTTTAGTTTGTTTTAATGTAAAAATTCGAGTGTACGAGATCAAAATAAAATAATCATATCCTTCATAACACAGTATAATAACAAGAAAATTTTTCCTATATGGGCAAAATCATTTGTTAGCGACGTGTTTTGAACAAAATTAAATTACGCTAATTACTTTTTACTTCATAGTCAGCTAATTTTTTTTTAACTTATATCTGTCTGATATTCTTTATATATTATCATAAAAAAGATAGTTTATGGTCTGAAAATACAAGAATTATAAAACTTAGTCAATTTAATCATTAATCAAGATATATTTCTTAGATGTTCAACTATTACTCGGTTAAGTTTTTAAACAGATTTAAAAATCAGAAAATACAATTTATCAATAGTCGATCATATTACAGGATTAGTATAACAATTAAAATAGTTATAAAGTGAATCACATTTGTTTTTATTTATCTTGTTTCTTTAGCTATTCTACATATTATCTAGTGCGTGTGACCTGATTGTTTTAACCTACATATTTTGTGAATAAGAAGAATCATCATTGTTATTTTTCTTATTATGCATTATCTAAAACAAAAGGAAAGAATTTTCTCATTTTGTTTCTTGCTCGTTGCCATTATCCATCCTTAGTTATAAATATTTAGGATTTCTTCAAATAAAAATAACCTATTTCTTGTTGAGAAAATTTGATACAATGAAAACTATGAAGGTGGTACAATTTTCTCGATATGACAGCGATATATCAGATGAAGAGATTGTAAAAGAAAAACAATAAGTCAATCAAAGACGATGAAATATGTCGAGAATGTCATGCTTTATCTAGATTTGTCAAAACTGCTTCAAATATTATCAATAATAAAATATTTTCTACAAAACTAGCACTATCTTTAGAACTATGGACTTTTTCATATCAATGTGTTAAATCAATAAAAGAAATGGACAATAGTTAATAAAATCAAAAAAGCATTTGTTATTTGGTGTATGGTTATACAAGCAATTCACATTCGAAAACATTAGAAGACAACTTTTCAGCTTTTTTTAAGAATTTTATATGTAAACATATTGTAAGCATGACTATTCATTTAATTCTTTAAATTTATTTTTCTGCTGATAAATTTTGTATTTTTTACTGATACTTATATTTAATAAACGGATCATTATATAATTAATTAGTGATAATTTTAGTCCTGATCATTTCATATACTTTACTGACTATTTAAATGGTAATCACTCTCATTCTTGTCAACTATGTTATAAACGCATCTAAATATTTTTTTTGAAAACAAATTGCATGATGAAAATCATTGAGCTTAAGGTATGGGTAATTGATTTAACATACGATACATCCATTGAGCTACATGCTATGACATTATTTCATTATTCATTTTTGTTTAATTTATTAGAAATTTAAAAAAAAGAAAAATACAAAAATCCAAAGATAAGACTGATATATTAATATAGATCCACGAGAATCTTTGCCTTCAGTTGATGTACAACAAGTATATTGATATTTTGATGGTGATGTATCATTTGGAAAACTTCGATATACAATTCGTTTATTTAATGGTTGTGGATTACGGAAATTTTCCGAAAATATGTCTAATCGAAACATTTCCAATTCATCGTCACTAATTTGAATGGGTGTTTGAAATACAGACCAAATAACATTTTCACTGCATGGAGGTGTTGTTAATGAACCTGAATAACGATAAAAATTGTTTAAATTTGTATTCATTAAAGTTGATAATTGTAAACTGATTCCAGCTGACTCATTTGTATCATTTAATGGATCAGCTGTTGAAAAATATTGTTCCCATGCAGCTAATGTATCATTATTAGTATTAATAGTTTCTCTCTTTGTTTTACGTTTTTTTCTTTTATGACCAGTTGATTCAGAACTACTCGAATTTGATTTAATAGTCTGAATAAATATGCCAAGTACCGCATATTGATTTATTGCCGAGTTTAAATAAACACAATGAATTTCACCAGCATAATTTTCACTATTTCTAAAGATAAAATATATATTATCGATTATGTTTCTTCTTTAATAGATGATCATAAGTTTTCTATTATATTCAAGCGGACGAATATTTGAAGAGCGTCATGTGCTACATTTCTTAGTTTTAATTGCTCATTAATGGTGAAAAATATCTTCAGAACACTACGAGAATTTTGAAGATGTGAAAGGCATTTCATAAGTCAATCGTTTATTTACTTATATACTCAAAAGAGGATCTTCTACTATAAGTGAAGAGAGTATTTTAAAAAAATCTAATTAACGAATATTTAATTACATTTGATGTTCACTGCCAGATTTATAGTTTTGACCCCAATGAAGATGAAAATTAACAAATTCATATATTCCATTTAAACCACCGCCACTCAATGTTAAAGGAAACGCAGTTTTGTCGACTTGTGAAGCTGTAATTGTATGTCCATTATTTGTAATTGTAAAATTTTGTACTACATTAGTAGCCGATGAAAGTTGAAAAGCAGGATATGCATTATAAACAGTACATGCTGTTTGAATATTGATTGGCGATTGAACCATTCCTTGGCAGGTTGCATATGAATCTTCCCAAACATCTGGTCCAGCATCACCATAATTCCAATGAGCTGCTTGCGATAAAGAAGTATTAACTGAATACAATAATATAAAAGCTACTAATAGCCAATGCAAACGCATGATGATCGATTTATTAGTTAATGAGAAATATCAGCTTTATATTGTGATAAATTATACCCTTGATGATATAGATAAATGATTCAATACAGTTGTATTTGACGTCTAATTTGTTTTTTTTTGTACACAGATGAATAACCTTTATTTTTCCTTTGGATAAAAATGAAACCCTATTCTTTTTATACTTCTACTCATTGACGTAGATGTAATACCATGTTATCACCTTGAAATATTCAAAAACACAAACTAAAAATTTGTTTGATTGATTCTTATTTTCTTAGCAGAGTTTACCTTAAAAATTCAAATATTTTTATTTTTTCTTTCATTACCAAATGTTACTAATTTTTAAATGATTAAGCGAAAGCAGCTATTTAAACTTTTCACGCCTCAATTATTTGAGTTTTCGTTTTCTCTTCAGTAAATATACAGATATAGCAAAACATACGTTGTTTTTTTTTCTTGTTGTAATTCGAATTAGAAGTAAATGTACAATGCGTGAAGATGAATATTTTAGAAAAACTAAATTACTATATTGTGTTATAATGAAAAATATATAAATAGAATTTAATTATATATAGATAAATTGTTTTCAATATGAATATAGATATATATTTATATCAAATTCTAATGAAACGATGGTACTTCAAATTTTATATTCATATCCTAATAGATATTACCAAAAAAAAACAGATAAATCATATATTTATCTCGAATAACAATATTTTAAATGATCAACTATTTTTTTTCAGCATTCATTTCATATGCTCATTTATCAATAAAACGTGAATATCGCTCTTGGTCAACAACATTCAACCTTATGTTATTATGTTCCCTATTATTAATCGTATCAATTAGTATACATATATATTTATATTAAAATATTAATCGAAGGAACAATATTTGTAAATGTATACGTATTTCATTCATTGATCTTAATTTTATCATACAATAATCTGTTTGATCTCTAAAAGAGTTCGAAAAAAATTGGAGATCAAAAGTACTTTTTCTCATTTATATAATTAATGAGTATTATAATTGAATCGTTATTAAATATCACTACAGATACAAACTATTACTTGAAATGTTCATTTTCCGAGTAAAATAAGAATTGAAATTGTTTTCTTTGATTATTGTACTTTCAAAACTCCATATTTGCATCATGCTTTATTTAGAACTACGTAATATTTTTTTTATTGGTATTTTTCTCTAGGTAAGCTTTTATTCATCAATAAATATAATTACGTATAAGTAAGTCAGTAATTCATATGCAAGATGAAAAAAATAAAAACACGTGTTTTTTGGTGATTTATCATGCACAACGAAGCAATAAATATCAACTATTATTAGACGTGCATCTTATATAACTTTACCAACGAAAGAATAAATAAACGAAAATGTTATTATTCATCGATATATATATATATTGTCAAGTATAATAAATATAGAATCATGCTGGCTATTGTATCTTGTCGAATAATAAACATCATTGAAAAGGGCTTTAGCTATTAAATGATTATTTAACTTAAAATAAGAATAATATTTGTATTATAGTAAACTTAACATATTTTGCACAAATATAATTTTCATTTGAACATATGAATAGATTTCAGATAATAAAGAATATTCTAAGATATTTTGTAATAAACTTATTGAATTCTAACTTTCATGCCATTTATAAAAATATATCATTCAATTTTATCTTTTATCACTGCTATGTTTTTTATTTTGGTCATAAATGAATTGAATTGTGTGATTTTGAGAACTTGTAATATGACATCTATTAATACTTTTGCATAATTAGAAATAAGTTCTAGTGCATAAAAACAATTTATTATATATGAAAATTATCAATTTATTATTTACTTTAGTTATAAATTAAGTAAGATGCGCATAAAAATATAAAATTCGAGCAGAATTTCTTTTTTTCGTTTTTTTATTCTATATATTTAATTTAATTTCTACATATTTTCTTCTTTGTGGTCGATCTTTATATTTATTTATTCATTTTCCTTGTTTTTCTGTTACGTTTCGATAACAATATTACCTTCATCAAACTATTGCATTTTTATATCTATAAACATCTATACATACATTCACATGTACATATATTTTTCATTTTCTTTTTTAGATATCTTACGCTTTTTCATCGAGATTCAAAATATGATAGTGAGACAGAGGAAGAAGATAAATAATCAATAACTCCTACCAGAATCATTATCTTACTGTCCCACTATCATATTTTGAATCTCGATGAAAAAGCATAAGAAAACTAAAAAGAAAAAACCAAAAAATATATGTACGTGTGAATATGTATGTATAGATGTTTATAGGCATAATAATGCAAATAGTCTGATGACAGCAATATCGTTGTCAAAACGTAATTAAAAAAAGAGGAAAACAAATAAATAAATATGAAAATCGATCACGAGGAAGAGAATGATAAAAAAAAATATACATTAAGTATATATAATTAAAAAACATAATGACCTTTCTTATATCAAAAGACAATTTTTCGGATTTTATACAAGGTTAGATTAAGCTTGACCAAATGTGATGAAAAATATGTAATTTATCATTTTTGTTGAGAATCTTTTGAAGAAGAAAAATTGATTTCTTTCGTATCTAAAAGTTCTTTTTTATGCTAAATAACTGTGTACACTTTTTTCGATTTTGAAAACATTTTCTGTTTCATGTTGATTATAAAACTGAGTCTATGACACTAATTTGCAAATTATTTTCATAGATTCAGCTTTATAATTAACATGAAACAAAAATCTTTTTAAAATTGAAAAAAAAGGTAGTTTTAGAAAAAAAAAATCGTTTTTTTCTAAAAGAATAAAAAATTTTGCTCAAAATTTGTATTTTTTGCACTTTTCATGTTTGTATCATAGTGTGTATTGAAATATGATTATCTTGAATTTCTCTTTGAAACGAAAATAAAAATTAATGTACTATTGTTGAGTCCATTAAATTAATCAACAAATCTTCTTTCACTTCGTATCGTAACTATAACACTTTCAATCAGATCAGAGCTACCAACATTCTGATTTTTGGAATATATTTTATTCTATAATTCTGTATTAATGTATTATTTCAGTTCCAGCTGTTTTTCTTAATTTATTTACATTAAGATAATAACAAGTTCTTGCATGAAATAACAAATTAAAATCAAAGACACAATCATTACAAATATTTTTCATAGAAGCAAGGCTAGAATGAATGTAACGTTTCTTGATTATATCATTACTATTTCGCATTTTCAAAAAAAAAAAAAATAATTATGATAGGAAAAACAACCGATGATCAGACACATACAACGAAACTGCAGGCAATCAATGATACTATTTAATTAATTTATTTTGCGAAATGTTGAAAGATTTATAGAATTCAAATCATAGAAATAGCTTTATCAGTCACATCACTATTTATTCGAATAATTTTTTTTTTTTTCTAAAAATATAGCTCGATTAAAATATTATAAAAAAAATAAGATTAATTAAAAATGTTGAATAAGAAAGTTTTTTAAATGAAGATGTCAATGTATTAGATGGTTTAATTGGATCTTTTCTTGAACAACAATTATAATCTGGTATTGATGATAATGTTTCATTTAAAAAATTTCGATACATTTTTCGATTATATAATGGTTGTGGACGACGATAATCTTCAAAATAAATATTTTGTCGAAAAATTTTAAATTCATTTTCAACAAACATAATTGGTTCTTTAAATATTGTCCAAATAACACCCTCTGTACATGGAGGTGTAGTTAATGATCCTTCATATCGCCAAAAATCTCGTAAATTTTCACCCATAAGTAATGCTAAACTTAAATTCATCATAGTTGTATTTTCTTCTGCTTTTAATGTTTGTGCTATATCGAAAAATCTTTGCCATTCTTTTCGTGTATCTTCATCCAGGATACGAACCGTACTGTTTTGTGTTTGATTGTGAAAAAATAAACTTTGCATAAAAATACCAAGTACAGCAGTTTGATTTGTAATAGGATTTAAATATACAAAATGAATTTCACCTGGATACTTCATACCATTTCTATTTTTAAAAAAAAAAGTTAAACTAAAGAGACAAGTCCTTCAATTGATAAATCACTTTGAAATCGCGGCTATGTGCATCATTATAGACCCAAATGAGCTATGAATGTTCTGGAAAGAGTTCAGATTCTTAACTTATTACTGCAGTTTGACAAAAAAAAAAGACTTTTAGAATATCAAACTATGGTGTCTCAGTTTTTTGGAAATCTTGCTATCAATCACTATGTTGAATTTGAGTTAGATGCTTAACATAGAATAAAATAAAAAAATCTTATAATTAATTTTTTTTCAGCAGCTTTGAAAGTTATTATTGATATACTTACACTTCATGTTCGCTACCTGATTTATGATTTTCTCCCCAATGTAAATGAAAATTTACAAATTCCAAGGTACCTTGGAAATCACCACCTGTAAGTCTTAAAGCTGATAGATTAGGTTCATTAATGAATGTTCCAACAATTGTATGTCCATTATTTCTCAGTTTAAAATTGTGTTGTTCATTATAGCCAGATCCAAATGTAAATGGTGTAAAATTTTTATATGTTGTACAAGCTGTTAAAATATCAATTGGTGATTGTAATTGACCACCACATGTAGGAAATCTTTCATGCCAAACATCAGGCCCCAATTCACCATAATCCCATTCATGAACATGGTCGACACAAGTCACAAAGAGAAAAAATGATATGAAGAACACTGCATGGTACAACATCACATTCATTTATGTAAAAAAAAATATATAACATATTTATATATCTTAATATGTGAAAATTTTCTTGAGCAAAAAAACACCACCCAAACACGTTGTTCTATTTGTAAAAACAAACCACAAAACATTGGTTAACATCAACATACAATGTAATTGACTTAAGTTCTAAAAT